ACCCGGACGATCACACTATACGATATCCTGTTTGTTTCATTGATATACATACCGGATTATCCGAGAGATGTCGATGATTATTATTTTTTTGTTTTTTACCCAAGTGCATGAGTTGTCCTTTTCGAAGACATTATCGTTTGTCTTTTTTCGATCTGAGAATTACACGTATCGTCCATTGTTTTCTTCAATCAGTTTCTCACGTCTTGGCATTTTTTTCCCCTATATTTTAAGGTTAACCGCAGCGTAAATGTAATACTTCTTTAACAAAGAACATTGACAGTGATCAACATGACTTCGCTGTTGGACGAATATACAAATACCAAAGCTGTCTATTAATCTATAAATAGCTGACCGTGTGATTAAATCAAGTTCATCCGTAGAACTGGAAAGCTCTTTGAAGTTAAAAATAAAAACAGGGGTCATGCTATGCATAGCATGACCAAGTTACCTGTCACTATTACCCGTGGCGCATAGATAGTATCAGTTCGATTTCATTGTTCGGATTGCTAAACAACTTTTCTCTTTTGAGCGATAGGATACTCACGTTACGATATTTATGAGTCAAATTCAATCGACATCGATAATGAAAATCACCGAAAGTCATTATAAAGCTCTTAAGTCTCATTCCTTCAGCATAAACTGTAAAGGACAGCACTTTCTTTCTTGCATATAGTTAAATCAGCTCAGTCACTGTATTGGAATATTTTGACAACGTACAAAATTACCTTCAAATTGAAGAAAAGCTGAAAATAATAGTCTGCCAAGAGAAGAAATCCCTAAAGAGATAATAATAAACCCTAACGAAGCAAGGATTGTAAAGGATAGAGAACATTACAAAACGGCAAACTTGAAAAATTTGGTCTAAACTTTTTAAGATGAGTAAACCGTGACCAAAGACCGATTTTCCAAAATGTCCGAGGACACTTGAGAAAATAAGCAAGTTTCTGTTTGTAAGCCTTGTTTGCGTGCGATTTTTTATCGAGGATCCCATCTATCGGGAAAACGGTCACGACCTCTTAATTAAATCTGACGAAGCTCTTGCCATTTTGGTAGGAAGTGTATTAGTTCTAAATTAACTGAGATACGAAAAGAAGTCGATGCCACATGCCACACAATTTTGGTGACAACCCTTCAAATTCGACTCCCCTTATGACAAGTTTTCTTACAGTGCTTATATAACAACTGGTGGAAGAAACACAACAGAAATCGACCTTCTTTGCAAAATTAAAACACATACATTCACGTTCTACTTTTTGAAAAATGTAATAAAAAATCAATCCTCGTTATGAAAACTTCACTGTGAAATACAGTAGCTGCACTTACAATCTCTTAATACAATCTCTTTGCCTTCCGTTCTTATCTAAAGTGTTCAGCAAACCTCTGAGGAGAAATGGTCCAGAAGGAAAAAAAAAATAAATAGTGACAGGAATTTGACTCCACTCTACGGTGCAGTGATAAGCCACTGACGGCAAATTTTGGCGCTGTTTCTGGCATTAAATTTACACTCTCCTATCCACTTCAGTTTCCACGTGCACTCACTCATTCGAACTTACGTGTTTATGTCGTTTGACTTACAGTATCCCTACACGCACAATTCTATAGAATTTCAGGGCAGAATTGCTTTCCCTCTTTCTAAAAGACAGGGGTTCATAATTATACTATATGTGTCCTGTTGGTCAAGTCAATTAATCTCTCCCACTGAAAGCAGTGAAAGCATCATTTGCACGAAAGTTCTTGACAGACATTTACAACTTTGCATGCATTACCTCGCGTACTATCATGCGTAACGAAACATACAAATATAACTTGGAATAGTATGAGATATAATTGAATGAAATGGAAAACAAGGTGTAAGTGAAAAGTCACAGTGAAATGAAGCAAAATAAGATATTAACAANACGAAACATACAAATATAACTTGGAATAGTATGAGATATAATTGAATGAAATGGAAAACAAGGTGTAAGTTAAAAGTCACAGTGAAATGAAGCAAAATAAGATATTAACAAGTAGAAACATTATTTATACACATAAAACACAAAAAGGTTGATTTGAAACGCAATATAAACATCATTGTAAATGACATAAAATTCAATGTGGTTACCTTTCTTTGGCGCCATCGAATTCGAAGTCAGAGTTCTCAATTTTTTTGCAGCAAATTAAACAGAGCAACTAGTGCTATTTATTTATGGAGCCGATGTGTTGAAAGAATTTCTCGTTGGTTAACATAAGTTATAAACTAGCCTGCAGGAGTGTACGTGAGAAGAGTCACTTCCTTGTTATCTGGATTCTATTCAATTCTCACCTTATGATACCGGACACAGGACAAAGCATTAATCCGCGACAGTTAATTACCAAAGGTGTAATTGTCACGGTTAAGTTTCCATTTTTGTTCGTTATTAAAAGTGCAGTGGTTTTATGAGGTGCACGTATTTCCGTTAGGGTCAGGGGAGTGAGAAAAAAAAAA